ACCATGCCATGCTTGCTGCCCTCTCTTCCTGCGTAGCATCAAAGTTTCATTTTGTGCTGCTGACGTATGGTGCAAAATGAGCTTGTCCAAGAATAACAGGTGTTTGAGGAATCAAGTTTAGTAGCTCACATTACAGCTGGGAGCAATTCTTAAATAAGAGCAGACTGGCTTGTCTCCCACTTATTCTTCTGTGGGTAGGAGGGACAGTCAGGAATTGGTTTGGTGGTGTCCTAGTGAGGTAGATCTAAGAAATTAGCCTCCTGCCATGCAGGGGATCATGAGAGCTCTTTTTTTCCATTGCCTCACTTGAGCTGCAGCAGTCTGATTGCAGTGCTGTCCAACATCTCCTTCTAATGGCACTGGTGTAAATTCAGAGCAGAACTGCTTGTCAGTGGAGTTCCTGTGTAGTGATGCGTGGACTGACTTCTTGTGCCTTTCTTGCCTGGTACCAGCAGGCAGCAAGCGGCAGCAGCTGCAGAGAGGTAACGGTGTCTGCTTCATTGACAGAGAAGAGCAGGACAGCCCCAGCTTTCAGTCTGACTCTGCTTGGCTGTGCTTCATATCATTAAGGTTCTCTCACTAATGAAGAATCTCTTGTGTAACTAGTTCCATCCTCCATGAAGTCTGGCTCCTTTTCCTCACCCATCTATCAAGCCCTGTTGAAATACTGTCCGTCATGAATAAACTCCACTTATGCTGCGCATGTACCATGCGATTTATGACTCGGGAGGGCTTTCTAGCCAGCACTCTATATTCACACTCTGGCTGTGTTTTATGAAAGGCTCTAATGGAAGAGCTGTGCTGTAGGCTTTGTCAGGGCTGCCTTTCTAGGGGGGCTCGTGGCATTTTTCATTTGTATGGGCTGCATCTCTCCACTAGAGCTCTGCTCATGTGCAGGGTTTGATTGGCATTGATTGTGCTTCAGGGAAGGGAGCACGCTTAGCAAGAAAAGAACAGGCGTTTCTCAAAACCTTGACTTTTAGGTAGTGAATTGACCTGGATTAGCTTTTGACACACTGTAAATGAACGCTTCTCTAGAAATTGCTAGCATGCCCCTTACTGTGGAACCTGAGCCCTGTGTTTCAGGTTTTATGTATTCCTTTTGTGATGATGCATTTCGTATTAACTCATTTTTAGACACCATTTTTCATGAGTTGTCAGTGAGGCTGCAGCCCCCTTTGTTCCAGAAAGCAGTGGTGCTGCCAAGCGGCATTTGAAAAGTATCTGTTGCTTCACAGCTATTCCAAGGAGCTATTCTGCATTCTGTCCTTTCTGCTCTCAGTGGTGGGGCTTGTGCATTTAGCTAGATAAGCAGATCTTTCATTGCAATTTTCCTGTGTTTGTCCTTTCTCTTGCTTGTGATATTGACAAGCTGCCTAAATCCCAGCGAGTGGAAGGGTCAGCCTAGTCTGTATTAATTTCCAATCTTGCTAGAAGAGCTAGAGCAATCTCTTGGACTCTGCTTAATTCCAGGGGATTTATAGTACCTTAGATGTTACAGTGCTGAGCGCCTGAAAAGAACACATGTAACATTTTGTGGGCTACCTTGTTTCAGTAGCTGGAGAGAAACCGCTTCTCTTTGTTCCCTTGGAGGTAGACTGAGAGAGGTGCACTTGGATGTAGTGAACCACTTAATAGATTCTGCTCATCAGCGTTGTTAACCTTGGAGGTAACATGATCCAGCAGTGACAGTGGGTTATGGACAGTGGCACTCCCTGTGGTTTGGAATTAAGAAAAAAAAAAAGTGACCTCTTAACTTTTGCTGCCTTAGGAGGTGCACTGTGCTTTTTCTGAAAGCAGAATATTGCTGGGCACAGCCTGGTCGTGTCTCAATGAAACCACCGAAAATATTCAGGTATCTGCAGCGGGTGAACTGCAATTGGGAAAGGGGTGGAAGGGAAGTGATCACTGTAAAGTTTGATTTTTGAGCATTGCAGCATGAAGTGCTTGGCTGTCTTGCATACACCTTTGCCCTGCCTGGGGTTATCAGACTTTCTTTTCCGCACTGATAACTGTGTGGTCGATGACCATCTCCTGTGTTGAGAGCTCTCACCTGCCGTACCATTCAGGAATCCCGGGCAAATTTAACAACATTGCTTCATGTTCCAGGAGAGACCAGACCTGTGGCCATACAGCGGGCTGCCACTGAGCGGGCTGGTCTGGAAGTATTTTGGTTGCTGTATGACTTTATGGATCATCCTGTCAGCTCTAAAGCAAGGCTGCTTTTTCTGAAAACAAAGCTCCAGTTATTTGTAAGTGCCTGCTGCAGTGAGAGCTGAGCAGGGTATAAAACTATCCTTTCCTTTCAAAGTCACCACTGATAACTAATGGGATGGCTCGAGTAAATGAGAAGAATAGTTGATCTTAATAGGGCTGGCACTGGGTTCATTTCACTGCAGGCAGTTGGAGGAAATGGCCTCAGACTATATTTTAGCTAGGAAACAAGCAGATGTCCTATTGAGGGAATAAGGGTATGCACTGTAAGGCTGCAGGGGCAAGGTTCTCAGGACAAAAAAAGTAAGGGATGTCAAAAAAGGTGAGGAATGAGGAAGAGAAATCCCCATGGAAATGGCAGGTGTTGGGCAAGAAGATCAGCGTTCTTGAGCTGGTGGTGGGGTGCCTGTGAGAAGTCTCCCTTGTTGTTACATCAGAGTTCAGCTAATTCTGTAACTGTTACTGCTTTATAGCACTGGCTTCCATTTGCTTGCTAATTTCCAAGACCTTAGGAGAACTCGATGCTGCTGGCCTAGTTGTGTCATCTTTGTCTTTGACTGTATCTTAAATGGTGTGGGCAGGGTTAACCTTGTCTAAAGTTAGATGACTTGCAAATGGGGCCCATACATGCTGTCCGATGCCTGTCAGTGGAAGGCAGGTTGCCTTGGGTCTTTCCCGCTCTAGAGCGCTGCGTTGTTTCACCCTCATTCCTTCAAGTCTGAGAGCAGGAATAAAAGCTAGAGGAGAGCGGTGAGGTTCCAGATCTGATAGCTGTCCTCTTCTCCTGAGTCTCTGCAATACTGGCTTAATTCATTTATCACTCCATTCTCCAATTCTGGTAATAATTCCAGGTGCTGCAAGTCCAAGAGCACTTCCGTAGACCTGGGCTTTGAAATGATGAATTCATTGATTTGTTCTCCGTCACCGTAGTATGCTTTATTCAGAAGTGTCCGTGACTTTGTAAAAGGCTGCATTATCTTGGTGGCCTGTCTCTTACCAAAGAAGTGACTGTAACCTATCTGCTTCATGTTTCTTTTCAAGGAGGTCAGTTCAGATGTGTTCATTTCAAAATCATGATGGCTTCCCTATTTGCCTTTGCTACAGATGCTGCCAGATGTGTGAAAGAATTACTTCAGGCTAGAAGAATATCCTAGATTTTTTTAAAGCTTTTGGTTTTCAGGCCTGTCACAAGGTTCTTGACTGGCTTTGAACAAATCCCAAACACTCTGATAGAACATGGGGAGCACCCAGGAAGAGGCTGTGCTGCTCTGGGCACCATACCTGCAGAGTGTAGTGACTGGTCAGTGTGCTGGGAGGTTGCACGCAGGCTGGCAGAAGGGACAGACCTTGGTGACTGTTGTGAGGGTAGCATGCACTCTGTCTCCCTTTTTAGCTGGCGAAGGAGATGGTAAGGAGGCAGGGCTGCACGGAGAAACGCTGAAGGGGAACTGCTAGGACTTAAAGATTGAGGGTGGTTGGAGAAATGGTTAGTGCTGCTTTCACAATGGTGATTTGGAAAGTCCCTTGAAGCAGCTGTGGCTGCTCTTCCTCTTTTTATTGTAGTCTCTGATAGTGGCTCCTTTTTGCATTTTTTTTGTTTCCTCAACTTAATGGGGATAAAGGGAGTCCTGCCTGGGTCCTGACCCTGGGCAGTGAGGGAGAAGGTGGAAAGTTTCAACAGTTGTGGGTCAGGAATGAGTGTGGAAGAACAGCCCTGGCTGGCTTTATTTAGCCTGCTAATGTTTCCATTTCCCATCTGTTCAATGGGAATAACCTAAGTGTTGGGGATCAATTCACTGAGTATCTGATTGCTGCGCAGACAGTATAGCAATAAGGTACTAAAAATGTCTATACATAAAAATAACCTCTTAGACTCTCTGGCACTGTGCCTTTGGCACGTCACAGGTCGTAAAGATTCTGCCAGACAAAATTAACTGGCAGCCTTGTTCGGTACGAAACGGAGAGCAGTTTGCTCTGCTAGCATAGTTTAGGTACATTAGGGCAGACACATCCTGGTGGATTTTTTCAGTCAAGTCAGCAGATAGTTGGAGTAATTAGTACTATAATATGTATGAGGGTCTTGGCTTAAAAATTCTTGGCTGGAAGAGTTTTTTCTCTATGTCTGTGAGAAGGACTTGGCAGCTGAAAGACTATGTGCATGATGTTATTGGGGTGTTGGAACAGGGAACTCCTTGGTTTGGAAGGGGTAATAAATTATCGATTATGTTGACAAATAATCTGCCTTAGTGTCCCTTCTGCAGAGAACAGAAGTTACGAGTTTGGGAGAACTGTGGGAGAAGAAAGAGAGAAGATGTGATTATGGGTGATGGAAATGTGGTAGAAATACAAGGCATGGGAGGCAGAGACTTTTTGACAAGGCTGGAGATGTGCATAGCTTTCCAACCTGTATTCTGCAGCTAAGAGGGCTTCAGATCCAGAGTTCCTTTTCCCCCTAACTTTCTTCTGGGGGGAGGCAGTTGTACCCATGTGTTGACTGGGTGACATAGGCAGTTTTCCTTTCTCTGGAATATTCCTTGGCCTTGTGGCCTTGAAGGGTGCTGTGTCTGGGGAGACTTGGCGGGGGGAAATATCCCATTTAGGGGCTTCTATGCTGCTGCCTTGCTTGGAATGAGCCACTTGTGGGTTTCTAGCATACTGCTGTACATCAAGCTGAATTGCAGGTATGACCTGGTGTACTGATGCACCACAGCTGTGTCCTGTGTGCTGTCCTATTGCATCTACAGCATGCTTTGCTGTCTGTCTCCCTCACATTTCCTTTGCCTTCAAGGGCTCATGTCTGAGGGTCAGCTAGGGATACCATGTAGCATTGGGACTCCCGTGGATGACTTGTTACTCACTTGTCCCTCCTAGTCAAGATCAGGAAGATTTTGAGCTACCGTGGATGGAGGGAGGCTGAGGAGAAAACCTAGCCAGCAAGTTCACGGCAAGACTGCCTGTGTGTGGTGTACAGTCTTGCAGAGTGCACATGACAGGCACTCTGCCAGTATACACTGTGTTTATTTGGGCTATGGCTTTTCTGGGGAAGAGATATGACACCTGAGCTGCTTTTGCAAATGCTGATTGGGAGTTGATTCTGTGAGACTCAGGTAAGAGCCAGGCTGGTGGTCTGGTTTTGGCATAGGTGCTGACTAATAACAGGATTTCCGTTTCTGGACTCCTGTTGTGTTGCAGTGGCCTGATGAGGCAATGCAGAAAACAAGATGTGAGGTAGCTGCTGAGTACTAGCAACAAAATCTGCAGGATGGTCTGGGTTTATGACTGACCTGAGTTCCCTTTAAGGTGCCTCCAGCTCCATGGGACTCTCTGGGTTCAGTAAATGGCTTGGCATGTGCTGTAGGCACCAGCACTGTTTTGCTGGGCATGGAGAGCTATGAGGTTCTTTGATGTTTCTGATCCCAGAAGATAATAGTCATGCTCACATTAACCTCCACATCTTTTCCCTGTGAGGGCTTTCAGTATGCTGCCTTTGTAAAACAGACAGCAATTTTTCAGTCTGCTAGCTTCGTCCGTCAGTAACATTCTCCACCAGGGAATGCAGTGTTAGGCCTGTCCCTCTAACTTATCTGAAAACATTTTCATTTCAAATAGCTGTAATGTTTTTACTGGGTCGTCATTAACAATGCAGGTTTACAATAGGAAATTAGACTTTCTAATAACAATTGGATTCTGCCGCCTGATTGAAGAATTTCCTAATAAGCAAGCCATGTGGCATTATAAGAAGCCCCTTTTGGGGGAATTACTGCATACACAGGTATGAGGTGAAGCATGAGGCTGCTAACTGGCTAAGTTTAACCAGCCAAGGAATGTGATAATCCTCCAGAAAGATGTAACATGGACTATTTTATTAGCAATAGGAAATGGATATTCCATTTGTGACTGGGAAGGTCATACCTGTCTCTGGGTATTAATGTGGCTATATCACCAACAGCCAGTGGGAACGCTTCATGTCTGTGCAGAACGTTAAAGCTGCCTCGCACTGTCAGATGTTTGGCTGGGTTTTAAGGATGCTTCTATCCACTAGGGCTATCAGAGAATATTGCCTTGCTCTCTGAAGACAAGTGCCTTTCAAACGCCATTGAATGTTTCTGCTCTCGTTAAAAGTTAAGAAGCCTTTGATCTGAAGTGCTGTTTTTTTTTTGTTTGTTTTTTGTTTCTTTTTTTTTTTTCCCTCTGGCTTGCCAGGGCCTGGGAGGAGTTTCATGGCCTGGTGAACAGCAGTGGCCGCTGATCGAACGCTCCCCCTCCCTCTGTCACACCCAGGGTAGGGCCTCATCTTTCTTCCTATGTGACTTCATGGCATACCTCTCAGCCTCCAACCCTCTTCTCATGGGCTGGCATGTTCTCTTGCGTTATGGGCCAGGTGGTGGGCCTATTCTGCTACTGGCTCTTTCCCAAAGGTCAAAATGATTTTTTTAGAATTTTTTTTTTGACCAAAGACACCAACATTGAATATGGTCTCCATTCACACAGCATTTTCTGTTGTGATGCTGTGTGTTCTTTTGCTGATGTATCCTTCCTCCGTGCAAGGCACTTGTATCCCAGACCTGGTGCCAGGAGGCTGAGAGGTATGTCTTCAGCTTGGGTCTGTTGCCTAGGGTTGGCTGTAAGCAGATATGGAGTGATAAATGAATGCTAAGCACATCCATGTGATGGACACTGAGAGAGGCGCCTGGAGCTTGGCATATGTGCCTTTGCTCTTGACAGTGGGCTAGAGCAGAATAAATTAGTCTGTCAATAAAAGCTTGTTCAGGAAGGACACACAGTAGCTACTGTATTTAGAAATAATAATACTGTGGCTAATGAGATGAAACCACCTGCTACTTCTGGTAGTGGCAACTGACCATGTGCAGAGAAAATAGCCCAGGTGAGCTCAGGGCTGGCTATTGTGAGCCTTGCAGCTCAGATTTTTTCCCTCCAGTGCCCAATTCCCTGATGGCAGGCCCTTTCCTTAAAAAGGGGCTAGCAGGAGGCCTGGCAATGGGAGTTGTGTTTGGTTGTAGCCAAGTGGGGTTGCTGCATTGACGAGTGTCAGAGCAGAGGAACCCACTGGAAGGAAGCATTACATTGCCCAGTTCCCACCTCGTGGTTGTATGTAGCTGCTCCAGCACAGCCAAGCTCCAAGGGGCCACTGGGGATCCTGAAACCTCCCTCCACAGATTTGGGCAAGCAGTGTTCTCATAGCTTGCTCTGAAGTCATGAGTGAAAATAATACCTATCTTTCCTCACAGATTTGGCTTTTTGTGAGGATCAATGGTTACGAGATGTTACACAGGCACCTAGTAGTGGTGTTATTGTTAGATGGCATTCAAGTGACCTTCCAGAAGAGGAAACCAGCTCACTTCATGAAATACCAGTCTCAGAAGGCAGTAAATGTGCCAAGTGTACAGGAAAACAGTGACAGAGTTGATTGAGCTCTCAACTGTATTGGGTTACGTATGCTGAGCAGGGAGAGTAGTGATGAGAAGAGGGCCTGGGGCACGCCAATAAATGCGAAAGGAGGGAAAATGTAGAAACCTGTCCAAGAAAGAGCTAACTGAAGTATGCTGTCCTCCTGAGGTAGATGGCATGGGTGAAAGTACAGTATGGGACAGAAAGCCAAACCATTGTTGCAAATTAACCAGAATCCAGTTAATGAATTCTGAATCATGTTCCCAAATGGCAGCACAGCCTGCTTTGTTGGCAAGTGCAAAGGTGAACCCCAGTCTTCTGTAGATGGCCTCCAGCATGGTTTTTGCTGTCATGTCATAGTAGAGTAAGTTGTTTAATTCTCTGAAGAGTGTTTTTTAGTTCCTTCTGCTCCTCCAGCTCTCCACCCTGCCTCCTGGAGGTGTTCCAGCATGCACTGTGCTGTGATGTTACAGCTACCGTGCAGCTCTTAGCAGTGCACAATGCTAGCTCAAGGGTTTAAGCAAGATTTTACAGTCCTGCAGAGCACCTTGCTTCTGAAGCTGCTGCCTTTGTTCTTCAACACAGCTCTGCCGATTTGGTGTGAATATGTGCTGGGCCATCCCTAGGTGATTGGTTTGGCCAACTTACTGCCCTGTCCCTGTTACGGGAAAAGCTGCCAAACCTGTCCTCTCAAAATAATTGTAATCTCATTTATTTCCATTTGAGTTTAAAAACACATACCACCTTTCTATTGATGTGTAGGTATGCTTTGCCTATTGCTGCTGCTCACAGGCTAGCAGCGAGCATTAACGGGTTTCTGTAACCTGCCCCATCTTCAATTGCTGCCATGTGCCGCAAGACTATGCAAGTGAAGGTTGTGGACCAGCAGTCCTTTCTTCGTCAGTAGCCCATGCCACTCACGTGGCTGTACTCACGTGAGTAAAAGCTGCTGAAGAAACTCTTCTATTTAAACTTGAGGCAAATGTCCTTTTCAGATCAGATACTCTTTTAAGGTAGGAGAGACCAGAGAGCTAAACTTGTTGACAGCATGACAAAAGGAGCCTAAATACGAGGGACACGAGGCAGGAGAAGGTTGGACTGATGGTATATTTGTGCTCCAAGCAGAATCCCTGAGGACAAATGTTTGGGAAGGAAGAGATCTTGCAAATTGTTTAAACACCAGAATATTAGGGAGGTTTCCAGCGTCTATCAGATGCTTTGCTCACAGGAGATGACACTTCTTTCTTCCCGATGAATGGGGATGAACCAGGATCTCCCTGTGTTCTAAGTGTTCTGGAGCAGCAGGTTGACTTATGTGAAAAGTCCCTAGTTAGAAAGCAGATCTGCTTTGGAGGTTTAACAAGCATTGATTTGAGTGACATATGGGGATGACAACACTGGTAGCCATGGTGGGTGGAATGGGGGGGGTGCTATGATCTGAAGGAATGCATGCCTTTAACCTCTTTCTTCCCTCTGTTTTCCAGGGATAATTCAAGCTTTCGAAACACAAAAATCACATTGTGAGAACAAGAGTTGGCACTAAGCTCCTCTCTCCGTGTTGAAAGCACTGAGAGGTCTCCACCAGTGCCCTCTGACCTCTGAAGGGACTCATGGGCCACTCTCGCACTCCTCCTTGAAGGAAGGATCCATCTGAAGCCCTCCAGCAGCGGTGACAATAGAGGCTGATTTTGTCATACACAAACTTTTTTTAGCAGTGGGGCGGGAGGCCAACCTTTCAATTAGCAGTGTGCCCTTGGGGCCGCATCTTGCAGCACTTTCCTCTCTTTCTCTACATGGCATGCAGGATCTCTGGGATTCTGCCTCGACGTCAGAGCCTTTTGCTGAGGGATACCAGTATTACAAATCTCTCTGCAGCTGGGAGGAGCTTCCCAGTTGAGAGTCAGCCCTATGGTTTTCAAATGCCCCCTTTCAGCTCTGCCAATAAATTATTGGGTCTCTTTGTTTCTTTCAGTCTCTCTTTTTTGGGTCTGTCTAAAGATTGGTGGGATGGTGTTTCTCTAGGCTGTGGTGAGGCCTGCTTCTGCCAGCTTCATAAAGTGTCTCTCCCCGAGTTGCAGCAAAGCATCCCAGGTGTGCCAGTGGTGGCCAAACTTTACCATATTTGTGGAGTTACATGGGCAGAGGAGTTAGAGAATGTAACATCTTGCTTAAAGAATGAGATGCTTGCTTTGTCTTTGCCCCTTCTTTGTATTCCCTGCTTAGCAGTGCCCTATTTGTTGGGGAGAGGGGTGCAAGCTTCCCTTAAACTAGGACAAAGAGGTGTTTGGTGTCACTTAGTTGCGTTGATTCCAGCTGTCTCGGTGGAGGGCCAGCAGTGCTGCCCTGTGTTGGATCCAAGGAAAGGCTGAATGCGGGGCCATGCGTGCTTTGGGGGTGCACTGAGGTTTGTAAGTCTCCAGCCATCTGGCAAACTGGATCCCCGGTGGGAAGAGGGTGGTGGCCCAGGCTGCTGCCGATAGCTCTGTGAAAGCTGTGGCCAGAAGAGGGGCTGTGAGTGACCCCCTGCCTCCTGTCCTCCCGGGTGAGTCTAGATTGATGGGTTGTTGCCTGGAAAGCCAGCATGGCTGCAGTTCAGATGCCACAGAAACAATAGGAGCTAATTATTTCCTCTGATTCTGCTTGACTACAACGCTAATTGTACTCATTAACAGCTCCAGCCTTTTCCCCTGTTCCTTGGGGAACTGCACAATTGCCTTTCGTTTTTAATAGAGCCTTTGCCTCGGGCCCAGGAGGAGAAGCTGCGGCCAGAGACGGGCACATCTCCTGCCTTACGTGCTCTGTGCAGTCCTGCAGGAGAAGGGGCTGCTGGGGCCAATTTGGTCACAACTGCAGAACTAGCAGCCCATGTCTGGGACAATTACAGGCCTTGGGGACCAGGAGACCTTCAGCCTCATGACTCCAATTGCAAATTCCTCGCATTATTATTGAAGTCTAGACTGAAAGCAGCCAGGGCTGGCAGAGAAAAACAGTTTAAAATATTCAATCTTTTGAAGGGTTTGTTTTCCACATCGAGGGTGTCAGTCCTAGGCTGCCTGGAAATGTTCAGCGCAGTGACAGCGATGGCTGCTCTCTGTGGTCAGGCAGTTTTGTGCCTGCTGGCACCTGGCTGGGCAGGGGAGCAGGGCAGTTCCCTGGGCTGTGGTGGCATCCCTCTGTGTGTTTCTTGAGACCCCACCACCCTACCAGCTCTCAACCAAATGCTCTTTTTCAGGCACAGTTTTCCCCGCTGTGATCAGGTACTACTACGGCTGCTACTTAAAATTCCTTTTAAATACAACTCTCCCCTGCTGCTCTCCGGTATTTGTTAGGGGGGATTTAGTTGTAATTACATTTTGGCAATCTAAGCAAAAATAGCCTTGCAAGGCAAGGCTGAAATACTAGCTGCAGGCTCCTTTTATCCACAGCGCATTTAGCTTCTTGCAGATGACATCACTTAGGGCTTTAGTCCTGTTGTTGTGCCCAGCTGCGCATCGCCTCCACCTCTGCTATTTCATGTACTCGCCCACTTCTCGGCTCTGATGTCCCGCATCTAAGCTGGTGCTGATGAGTGCAGGGTTGCTATTAAATCTGAAAATGCTGCAGTCCTGCTGTGTTCGCCCTTAAATATGCTTTGTGAGTGAGCTGTGGAAGAGCCCTTCCCTAGTAGGCTGTTCCTCTCCTCCCGCGGCCTCCGTGGTTGAGATTTGGAGGAACTCGGCACTGGTTCCTCTTGCTCACCCTTGAAGGGAGGGAGTTGTCCTTTTTCAGGCTACAACTTTTCCTGAGGTCAGAAGAAAAACAGTGTTCGATCAGTGCCAAGCGCTGGGTTTGGTGCCTCCTATGGCTTGGAGAGTGTTGGAGCCAGACTGGGTTTTGAGCAGGGCTTTTTGGGTTGTGGTCTACTGTGTCCTGCTAATAAGAGTGGTGAAAAGATAGCCATAGGGTTGTTTGGGAGGGGAAGCAGCTTCTGTCATTTTCTAGAACAAGATCCTCTTCGTTCAGGAAGGAAGCCTGGAGCCCTGGGAGCCCCAAATCTGCAGTGAGTCATGACCTTGCCTGCTCCTCATCCTGAAGGCTTTGTCCGCCCTTAAACTTCCTCAGATTCCTGCATAGTGGCCTTCGGGGAAATGGGCAGGGCTTTGAACCCCTTCAAGCCCTGGAGCCCAGCTCCAGGGCTCTTTTTTCCCAAGGGGATACTGGGCCATGGTGGGCTCATGGGCCCTGGGTGTCTCTGGCTGCGGCTGCTCCAGTGAGGGCTGATGGCTGGGCTGGGTTTGGCTGGGGGGCTCCGGGGCTGGTGGGGTGGGTGCACTGGGTGTCTCTGAGCTAGAGCTAAGGAAGAAATCTGCTTCCCATTCCAGAGAGAGAAAGGAGCCCCCAGTTTTGGAGGGGAACAGTTGGGGGGTGCTTGGAGGATGATGTTGCCCTGTCTTAGTGCTTGTGGATGGGGTGTGGGCATGTGGGGCTGATGCTGGGCTGGGGGGGCTTTTCTCCTCTCACTGCACTGGGCTGGGGGGGCTTTTCCCCTCTCACTGCACTCCTCCCAGCACCCTGCCAGCTCTGGATAGGGTGACCTGCGAGGCATTTCCCTGCTGGATCCTGCAACACACGTCTGCTGCCTGAGGCCTGTGGCATCCCGGCTACTGCTTTTGGTTTGTCCATGTCTCTGATGTGGTGATAAACCCCAGGGACCTCCAGAGGGCAAATAAAACCACTGCTTGGAGATGGTGGAGAATGTGGTCTCAGTTATAGGCTCCTGGCAGGCTGGAAGAGCTCGTCCCTTTCCGGTTGTGCTGTATGGATGTGCCGGGGACTGAGCTCACCTGGAAGAAGCAACAGCTCTGCGCAGCAGGGAGAAGTGGGTGACAGCAGCTGGCCCTGTTCAGAGCCCCCTTGCCCTGGAGACTGGCGGCAGGACAATGGAGACCCAGGAATCAATGGGAAATGGACAGGCAATGACAGGCTGGAGCTTGGTAATTCTGCACCTTCTTCGGGAGGGAGAGCCCAGGGGCTGGGGACATGCCTGGTGCTACGGTTTGGGCAGTTTATGGCAGGTCCTGGCTCTCAGGGCTGGGGACGCTTAGCCAGGGCAGCCTGTCCCTTCAGTCACTGTGGGGCTGGGGAGAGGACATGTCCATGGGGTGGCTGTGGGGGGACAGGAATCCTGTGCAGTCCTGTCACTCACCAGCAAGAAGGCTGTGGCCGGGAGGGGTATGGTGCCCCAGGACCTGGGCACCTCACTCAAATTGTGGCCACAGGGCTGCCCCCATGGGAGGACACCCAGGCAGGGAGCTGGGTGCTTGGTAAGCTCCTCTGGGCACCCTTGCCTGTATTGGTGGGCACCATCCCTGCCTGCTTCAAGGTGCCAGTCTGGAGTGCCAGATCCACCCAGTCTCAGTGCTGTAGACATCATGCACCTCCCAGGGATGGGGCAGGAAAAGCTACCTTGCAGAGAGCAGGGGCAGGCTGGCACAGCCAGAGGTGGCTCTGGGCCATGACCAGGCTGCAGGCATCCAAGAGGTGATGTCTCAGCTGCTGGGTGTTTGCCTCCCTCCTCCATCCGTGCCCGCAGTACCCTCACCTCTGGTCGGCCGTGCCAGGAGGCAGTGCCAGTTGTGGGCAGTACCCCAGCTGGGTTTCTCCCAGCAGCAGCAGCCAGTGCTGGAGCAGTGAGGCTGATGGAGACACAACACGTCCTGGAGCCGGGCGCAGATGGCGTGAGCTGGGCTGCAGAGGAGCATTACAGAGATGATCCTGTGGGGCACGGAGGGCTGGGGGTGGAGGGAGTCATGTAATGATGCTCGTAGCAGGGTGGGTGCCAAGGAGCACCCATTCCTGAGGGGATTTGGGTGCCTGGTGGTCCAGGGTCTTCCCACACCAAGCTGCTTTCTAGGGAGCAGGGGCAACACTTCAGCTGCCCACAAGAGCCATGGCTGGGGCATAAATGGAGGGAGGAACTACCTGCCCCTGATCCCAGCTGTGGCTCTATTGCTGCCCCAACATGGGGGGCTGTATCCATGATTCCTGCCTCATTGCCATGGCAAGGGATGCCAGGGGGCCCTTTTGCCCTGGGCCAGAAGCTGTGAATTTGCAGTGGGGTAACATGGCTTTTGCTGCCAGCACTGGTGCACAGCCCATCAGATGCCTGACTCTGTTCCAGTTCCCCCTTGCCTTGTCTCTCAGCACCCTTCTGGGGTGCTGGGACAGGACCGTGTGGCTGAGAGGTCTGTGGCCAGCCTGCAAGGTTGGCACATCCAGCCTGTCTGAGAGGGATAACCCCATCAGTGGGCACGCAGCAAAGATGCTACAGAGGCTCGCGAGACTGATGCAGGCTTTACTTCCATGTTCAGCACACCATGGCCACCCCACATTCCCCCCTTCCCCATCACCACCACTGCTGAGGGGTGGCAGAGCCCCACCACCCCCTGTCCTCCTCCAGTGCTGTGCTTGGCACCAGGAGCTGCTGTGCCTGCAGGGGTCTCAGCCAGGCAGGCTGGTTTGGGGGTGCCCAGCCCCTGGCTCTGGTGATCCCAGCAGCAGGAGGGCTGGTGGGCGCCTGTGGGCATCACTGTGGCAGGTACTGCTTGGGGTCCCCGGGGAAGGGCAGGGCGGGCGCCTGGTTGAAGTGAGCCATGAGGAAGATGCCGACGGTGCCACACACAAAGAGGGAGGCCATGATGAAGAAGCAGACACGATCGATCACCCGTCCCACCAGGATCCACTCTTCACTCTCCTGCCAGTGGCACAAAGAGGGGGGGGTGAGGGCTGCCCCCGCTGCCCCCCATGTGGGTCCCTCTTCCCCCTGGCCCCAACTCACGCTGCTGAAGTCGTTCTGCTCCCTTGTGGCATTGGCGATGTGGTTGCAGGCATCCACGCAGGCACGGATCTCGGGGCCTGCCTCCTCCAGGCTCTGGCAGAAGTCCTGGGCACTGCTGCTCTCCAGGCCACGTCCTACAGGCAGCAG